CCAGGCCCCCCAGCCGAGCGGCGGCACACTTGCCGCGCTCGAAGACGCCGAGCTGATGGCGGAGGAGGACTACGCCGAGACGGGCTACGTCCACTGCATTGGCGCGTACTGGGTCCCGCCGCAGCGCCTGGGCTGGTGTCGGGTGTGCACAGAGCTGAGCGACTGGAAGATCATGATGGTGGAGTACGTGGACGAGCTCAGTTGTGGGGAGATGCGCCGCTACGCTGAGGCTTCAGAGCGCAACCAGAAGTACCCCGCGTTGCGGAGGGGCAAAGAGGGGCAGTACAAGCTGTACTCGCGATCGCGCTGCGTGGCGACGACGCAGAACATCACCGAGCAGGAGGCCGTGACGCGCGCAGCACGCCTGAACAAGGGCGCAGGCTCCATCGACCATGCCGCCAAGCGAGTGGCGAAGTTCCGTGCGAGCTCCGACTTCATCAAGGAGGGCATGGACGTGCTGGTGGGATTCGCGCTCTCCGAGGGAGGCTTGCTTGCCCTGCGGAGGTCAACGGAGGGCGCGGGGGTGGGCATCGATCCCGAGAGCACGGGTGCCCCCCCAGCCACGGAAGCGGTGGCGGAGGAGGTCGGTCGCCCGATGGTGAGGGAGGTGGGGTTGGTGACGGGGCCGCCCCGTGCGCCACCCCCACCCCTCGAGGATGGACCCCCCCGTGACGAGGAGAACGACCTCCGGCCCGACGTCGATGCTGAGGACCAGGAGCACCAGCTGAACGACGTCAAGACCGTGGAGGAGGTCACGGACATCGAGCCCCTGCTGCGGCTCGGCCTCTCCGAGAAATTCGAGACCATGCACGCCCACATGCTGGGAGGCCTGGGGCCCCTCCTGGAGAAGAAGGAGGACATGGTGAGGGGCGCAGGGGCGGAGTCCAGAAGTGGCTCGACTCGCTGAATGAGGAGGCAGAGGAGGATGTGGGACGACTGAAGAAGGGCGCCCTGGAAGCCTCGAGGATCGCGGACGCACACCTGGGACGCAAACGTGCCTGGAGGGAGGAGTGCCAGGGCAACACCGCGGCGCAGGAGGCCTACCGACGCATGGGCGACTACACGGGCCAGTTCTACCGTAGCAAGGGCTTCACGTTCAACATGTACTACAAGTGCTCGGCCAACAAGACCTGGGACAACCCCAGGGGATGCCGCTCGGTGATCCGATCGGATCGCTGGACGCAGCTGCTCGCCTGCGCGCAGGAGGCGGCGGGGGAGACGGGCCAGCGCTGGTACTGCCACTGTGGCGCGCGCTACTCGACCTCCTACGGCGTCTGCATCGAGTTGATAGAGGAGGAGCTGAACCCGCCACGTGCGTACTACATGCACGCGGAACACCCCGAGGAGGACATCCGCGACTTGAAGGCCCTGTTGCGCTACGGCAAGCTCAAGAAGGAGAAGATGCCTGTGTTCAGCGCTGTGGACCTCCTGCAGTACCTGCCCAAGGTCGAGCCGCTGGCAGTGGGCGCCGTCTTCAAGCGCTACGCTCCACACCAGCCGCAGTGGGAGGGCCACCATGTGCTGATGGAGTGGCTCTCCTGGGAGAACCTGCCGAGTTCAAGTGGACCGACCTGCACGCGCAGGTCGCGCGGGGACTGAACGACCCAGAGTGGGCGGGCTACAGCAAGAAGTCGCGGAATAAGGCCAAGAGGGGGCGCCTGGAGATGGCGGACAGGGAGCTGGCGCTCTACGAGCGCCGGCGCAACCTGCGGGAGGTCAGCCTCACGGGCGGCGGGGGTGGCACAGGGGTCGCCCCGCGCGCCGCCCCCGTCCGCACCGCCAGCGCCCCTCCAGCGGGGGGGGGGGGGCCGCGGCGGCCAAGGCCCGCCACCACCGCCTGTCGGGGCCCCGCCAGCGGCCATCATGGCCCCTCCGCCGCCGCCGCTGACGGCCCCCCCAGCGGCGCCGCCGCCGCCGACGGACCCGCCGCCGCCGACGGACCCGCTCCCGCAGCAGATCCCAAATGTTGCAGCCCTGAACGTGGCCCTCGGCGAAGATCTTGAGCGCTAGATTTTTGGGCCCTCAGGGCAGGCGGGCGGCGGTGGCGACCTCGGGGGGGAAGTGCAGGCGCTGCCGTCGCAGGTCTTCGCAGCCATTGCGCAGGGCGCAGGCCGGCCCGCCTGAATGATGAAGCCCAGCAGGTCCCATGCCCTCGGCAGGCCACGTGAGTCCATGCCAAGATTTCGTGCCTGCCACTCCCAGTAGCGCGGCGTGCCCACAGTGGCACCCCCCTCGCGTGGCAGCACCTGTGGCTTTAGCCTCCGCTCTGCGTGCGGTCATCCGTGCGTCTAGCTACTCTGGCCTGCCAGCTGGCTTGCCATCTCGGCCTCCTCACATGCTCACTTGCGCTCGTGGGCCTCGCTGGCGGTGCTGGGGTCGCCCCGTGTGCTGCCGCGACGCCGTTGGGCGCCTTGCCATTTTGGCTTGCCATCCTGGCCTCCTCTCGCGTCTTCTTGCGCTAGTTGGCCCCGATGGCGGTACTGGGGTCGCCCCGCGTGCTGCTGCACCGCCGCTGGCGCTTCACTTTGGGCCGTGGGGACCAGCTGCCCTCGGTCAGGCGCCTGCCGCTGCATGCACGTCAGACCCGCCCTTGGCTTGCCATCCTGGCCTCCTCTCGCGTCTTCTTGCGCTAGTTGGCCTCGATGGCGGTACTGGGGTCGCCCCGTGCGCTGCTGCGCCGCCGCCGGCGCTTCACTTTGGGCCGTAGGGACCAGCCCTCGGACAAACGCCCGCCGCTGCATGCACGTCAGACCCGCCCTTTCACCCAGAAGAGGTGCCCGCCACATACTGGCAATGAGGCAGCCACAAAGACGCCCTTCCCAAGGTGGTTGAGCCGTGGTGATGTGGTGCACGAGACCGCCAGCAGTAGTAGTAGTAGTAGTAGTAGTTGTTGTTGTAGTAGTAGTTGTAGTCGAAGTAGCGGTAGTAGCTGTAGTAGCCGCAGTAGTACAAGAAGCGGCAGTAGTAGTATTGGTAGTAGTCGTAGTAGTAGTCGTAGTAGTAGTAGTAGTAGTAGCAGTAGTAGTAGTAGTAGTAGTAGTAGTAGTAGTAGTAGTAGTGGTAGTAGTAATAGTAGTAGTAGTAATAGTAGTAGTAGTTGTAGCACTAGTATTGTGATAGCAGTAGTAATAGCAGACGTCGTAGAAGCTCGAGTTGTAGTAGTAGTTGTCGTTGTAGTTGTAGTAGTAGTAGTAGTAGTAGTAGTAGTAGCAGTAGTAGTAGTAGTAGTAGTAGTAGTAGTAGCAGTGGTTGTAACCGTAGTAGTTGTAGTAGTAGTAGTAGTAGTAGTAGTAGTAGTAGTAGTCGTAGTAGTAGTAGTAGTAGTAGTAGTAGTAGTAGTAGTAGTAGTAGTAGTAGAAGTAGTAGTAGTAGTAGTAGTAGTAGTAGTAGTAGTAGTAGTAGTGTAGTTAGTAGTAGTAGTAGTAGTAGTAGTAGTAGTAGTAGTAGAAGTAGAAGTAGAAGTAGAAGTAGTAGTAGTAGTAGTAGTAGTAGTAGTAGTAGTAGTAGTAGTCGTAGTAGTAGTAGTAGTAGGAGGAGGAGGAGGAGGAGGAGGAAGGAGGAGGGGAGGAGGAGGAGAGGAGGAGGAGGAGGAGGAGGAGGAGCAGTAGGCAGTAAGCTTCGCATACGTAGTCGTAGTAGTAGTAGAAGTAGTAGTAGTCGCAGTAGTAGTCGTAGTAGTAGTAGTAGTAGTAGTAGTAGTAGTAGTAGTAGTAGTAGTAGTAGTAGTAGTAGTAGTAGTAGTAGTAGTAGTAGTAGTAGTAGTAGTAGTAGTAGTAGTAGTAGTAGTAGTAGTAGTAGTAGTAGTAGTAGTAGTAGTAGTAGTAGTAGTAGTAGTAGTAGTAGTAGTAGTAGTAGTAGTAGTAGTAGTAGTAGTAGTAGTAGTAGTAGTAGTAGTAGTAGTAGTAGTAGTAGTAGTAGTAGTAGTAGTAGTAGTAGTAGTAGTAGTAGTAGTAGTCGTAGTCGTAGTCGTAGTAGTAGTCGTAGTAGTAGTAGTAGTAGTAGTAGTAGTAGTAGTAGTAGTAGTAGTAGTAGTACGAGTAGTAGTAGTAGTAGGAGTAGGAGTAGTAGTAGTAGCAGTAATAGTAGTAGTAGTAGTAGTAGTAGGAGTAGTAGTAAATGTTGTTGTAGCAGTAGTATACGTCGTATTCGTAGTAGTATGAGTAGTGGTAACATCAGCCACTGTTCTTGTGATGGTTGTAGTCGTAGCTGTAGCAGTATGAGTCGCAGTAGTAGTAGTAGTAGTAGTAGTAGTAGTATTTGTAGTCGCAGTAGTAGTAGTAGTAGTAGTAGTAGTAGTAGTAGTAGTCGTAGTCGTAGTCGTCGTAGTCGCAGTCGTAGTCGTAGTCGTAGTAGTAGTAATAATAGTAGTAGTTGTAGTAGTAGTAGTAGTAGTAGTAGTAGTAGTAGTAGTAGTTGTAGTAGTAGTAGTAGTAGTACTACCAGTGGTAGTAGTAGTAGTAGTAGTAGTTGTAGTTGTAGTTGTAGTTGTAGTAGTAGTAGTAGTAGTAGTAGTAGTAGTAGTAGTAGTAGTAGTAGTAGTAGTAGTAGTAGTAGTAGTAGTAGTAGTAGTAGTAGTAGTAGTAGTAGTAGTAGTAGTAGTAGTAGTAGTCGTAGTAGTAGTAGTAGTAGTAGTATTAGTAGTAGTAGTAGTGGTAGTGGTAATAGTAGTAGTAGTAGTAGTAGTAGTAGTAGTAGTAGTAGTAGTAGTAGTTGTTGTTGTTGTTGTTGTTGTTTTAGTTATTGTCATAGTTGTAGTCGTCGTGGCCGTCGTCGTTCTACTGGTTGCAGCCCGCGGCGAGGCAGCGACGGCTGGCGATTCGGCAAAGCCCTGGAAAACCCAGCCAGCGATCTGAGTGGTGACAGTGACTACTTACCAGACCACCCCAACCTAGCCCAAAGAGCAGCATTTCGGGTTTGTGGGGGCAAGGGTTCCACAAGCGTTTTTCAGTGTTCCTGGACGCCCCCCCACCCCTTACCAGGGATGGAGGGCAAACGGGCCCCTCGGTTTTGGTCGTGGTGATTCGGTGGGTGGCGAGGCGGGGCGGCGACGTGCGGCGACCTTTCGAGCATCAAGGACACCCAGCCAGCTCACGGGCAGCAGCGACGGGCGGCGACCTCGCTGGCGAGCGGAAAAATTCCCCCCCCCAAAGTCTGGCAGCGATGTTCTGGAACATTGTGCAGTGCAGTGTGTTCGCTCAATTGTGTTCTTCGGCATCTTTGCTCCCCTCCTTGTTTTCCGCCGCCCTTCCTCCCTGGCTCAACCTGCCGGGTCCCTTTCCCCACTGCCCCGATCCCTCTCTTCCCCTCCCTTGGTTGCCTACCCACCCTCCTCGCCTTTGCCTCCTCCCAAGACCCCCGTTGTTCTCCGTTCTTCCTCCTGCTCGTCTCTGTCCCTCTTGGCGTTGTGAGGCTGCGACGCCCAGCCGAGCCGCTGGACTCAGCGGAGCTTGACCTCATCCGTCTCATGCAGGAGGGGAAAACTCCAATTGTCATCGCTCCCGCTGCTCTTCCCGCCGGTGGTCTTTTGAGCACGTCTTGGTGCTGCTCATGACGCTGTCTCCGCTGACGCCTCCCTGATAGTTGAAGTGCGCGTGGCGCGATCTTGAACAGAATAGGGAGGACAGTTGAGGGGACGAGTGTCGGGCAGACCAGCCACGAGCGCGAACTAGCGCAGCGCATTGGCGGCACTTCTAGCCAGGCACGCCTGTCACAAGAGAGAAGCAGTTGAATCGTATTCTGGAAATGCTGTCCTGTCCAGACCTGTTCACGGTTCTCGGATTACTGCATTCTTATGATTCTTATTTGGTTTCTTGTTTACCCTCTGGCCGTAAAAGGCGTGACGTCACGTCACATGGGGGGAGGGGCCTGGTCACGTCACGATTCGCGTTGGCGCTGTCCAGGAACGTTTAGGAATGGTTCATTCCCAGACGACGCCTGCGCGAGTCATGACGTGGCCAGGAGGGGGGGAGGGCGGGCGGGGTCTGCAACATGCCTGCACTTGACACACATTGCGCAGTGTTTGCTTGTCGTTCCGCGACCCACTCTAGGGGGCGTCGCGCTGCCGCTGACCCTCACGCTAATCGATCTGCTGTTTGGGGGGCCCGTCGGGCCAGAATCACTTGCGGGCTGCCGTGGGGCAACTGGGGGCTACCTTGGCAGCGCGTTAGGGTCACCTTGGTGGTTTGTTTTGGGGGACAAACATGGCATAACCATTAACATTCGGTGGTCCGCTCGGATTTTCTCTGATTGGCGCTGGAGTCCCCTGGCAGCGCCTCTGGCACCGCCCCTCGGGGAGTCCAGCGCCGATCCAAGAATTCCGCGCGGACCTCCAAAAGTTTAGATTTGTGTCATGTGCTGCTCCTCCACGGCTGGGCTGGACTGGGCGATTCTGGGGAGTCTGGAGCCCATCGTGGTTCACCGTGCCAAGACTCCAACGGGATGCTTGCATGACCCTATACGGACCCGTCAGGAATCCACTAGGGCTTGAACAGGACCTTGTCTGGACCATTCGTCTGGGTGCACCAGGGCGCTTGCAAGACCATGATCCTGCCAGGACCTCACCTGGACCATGGCCAGTTCCTACGAGGGCTATTATTGGGCCTGACCGTGATTCGGCCAGGAGAGCAGTTGAGGACGAGGCAGCAACGCGATCTTCGGGCAGTTGTCAAGCGAAACCGTTCGCCGCGGCCGCGGCCGCAGGACCTAGAGCACCAGCGGGCGATGGCACAGAAGCGGATCCGGGCCGCGGCGCGGGTAACGCGACGGGGGGGAGCCATCCCTCTTGATCCTCTTCTCCAGTGCGGTCAGATGATTTTCTTCTCTGCCTCACCCACCCCCCCTCCCTGTCTTCTCCTCCTCGCCCCTCCTCGAGAGACCCCCTAAGCGCGTGTGGGCTCTCGAAGGCAAGGAGGACTGATACCAAGGGCGTAGGGTGCACATTCTGAGTGGCACGCGGGCAGATGAGTGAAATCATTATGCAGATGTTCGATGATGTTGTTGTTCTTCCCTCTTCCCGTCCGTCTGCGGCGCTTCATGCCGCCAGCGCTTCCGCCCACGTAGACAGTTTCGACCCTGCCAGCCTTCGACTGCATGTCGCACAACGCGCTGAAGTGTTGCCTCCGCTCTCAGCAATTATCGAGTACGCATGCCCTGGTTCCCTGCGACGCGGTGATTCATCGAAGCAGCCGCATGCATTTGTCTCGGGGAGCTGAGCGTAGGACAAGGGCGGGAGTTGGAGGAGGGCAGGAGGAGGAGGAGGACGAGGAAGACGAGGACGACGAGGAGGAGGAGGAGGATGAGGAGGAGGAGGGGGGGAGGAATTCTATGGGGTAGGGAAAATTGGAACAGCGCGGAGACTCCGGAGACTCTGCCTGACCGCTTAGCGATATGAACCCACTTCCGCCGAAACTTCACAGTGGGTTGCCTTTCGACCTCTGGCCTTTGTAAGCGTTGGTGAGAACTTTGGGCCATAGTTCCAAGCTGACTCGTCTTGTGTACCCCTTCCCCGGGGGGGGTGGGGCCACCGCAGGGTTCGCCCAACTTACCGAGTAGTTGTGTGGCGATCGCCCCGCAGGAGGAGGAGAAGGAGGAGGAGGAGTGGCAGGAGGAGGAGGAGGAGAAGTGGCAGGAGGAGGAGGAGGAGGATGGGCAGGAGGAGGAGGAGGGGCAGGGGAAGGAGGAGGAGGAGGAGGAGGGGCAGGGGAAGGAGGAGGAGGAGGAGGAACATCTTCCTTCCATGGTCCCTCCGTGGAGGTCGCCTCCTCGGCCGCGGGCCCCGACGCGGAGCAGTGCGCAGCAGATCGGGCAACTCTGGAGGAGCTGTGAGCGCGTCTCTTCGTATGGGGCAGGGGGCAAAGGGCTGGGTGAAGGTAACGACGGACGGGTCGGAGGAGAATGGGCGGACGAGAAGGCGGCGGGGGAGAGGAGGAGAGTAAGGATGAGGAGGGGGGCCAGAGTAAACCCAGGTTGCATCAGCGACGCCGGAGTGCACACCCGTCCTGCGTCCCCTCCGCAGAACTCCTTGCAGGCAACCCGTTCTATCTCGGGCGCCCCCCCCCCCGCCCCAAGACGAGAGCGTCAAAGGCTTGGCGTTCGGCGCTCGAGCAAGACTGGTTGTCCAGAGCACAGGCCGCCCTTCAGCTGTGGTGTCGCCTGGAGGCGTCGAGCTCCAGGGCCATGTGCGGTGAGGAAGTCCGGGGCGGCACGTCCAGCCTGCCCTGCGGGCATGCCTTTCGCGGCGACGAAGAGTCACGAGGACGTGTTTTCGTGACGCCATGCACACATGATCGAGAGCAATCTTATGTAGCATGGTGTCGGGGAGAAGGCAGAGCAGGGGCGATGTTCATGATGGAGGAGGGATGGGAGTAGAAGCATGGTCAGTACTAGACCTAGGAGTAGGAGGTTGCAGAGGGAGCATGCTCGCTCATGTGTTGTGGCCGAGCTGCGTAGTCGCAGTGAAGAGATATGGATGGTGGTGTGTCCTTTGGGTCACGTGTGTGCTTGTGTGTGTGGGGACTTGACTCTGGGCTTTGCCAACGTGCGCCTGTCGTGCGGGAGCTGGCATCCTTGGCCAGTGTGCGCCCAGCTCTGTCTGTTCTTGGTACGACAGACTTCTCACATCAAGTATGTTTTTGTTCGTTACAGGAAGGCCCGATGATGACAATTGCCAGTTCCCCAACTAATGAGACGGGGACTCCACCATGCTAGAACAGGCCGGAAAGGGGGAAAGAGGGAGAGAGCGAGAGAGAGAGAGAGAGACCAGCAGTTGGCACGAGACAAACCACATGCTCGAATAGTCTACGCCGCCCTGCTCATCACACCAATGGGATTTGGCGTTGACATGTGCCTCTCTGCTTCCATCGATCGCTTTATCGAAGACGCCTACGGCGAATCACCGCCGCCCCCTGCCTTTTTGGAAGCGGCTATGTGGCCGAACGTTGAGCCAGACCTGCCAAGCTATCGGATCATTTGTTCCCCGAATCGGTTTGGAAAGCCTTCGGGGAGCACGTGGGCATCTTGAAGGTCATCTTGGCCGTCTGGAGGCAATGTTGACCCTTTCGGGCCTTCCTGGAGGACGTCTTGGAGGGCTCTTGGGCCGTCTTGGAAGTCATCTTGAGCGTCTCGGAAGCCTCTTGGGCCGTCTTGGGGGCCTCTTGGGGCCGTCTTGGGCTTCTTGGGCGATCTTTGGCGGCACTTGGGCCGTCTCGGGCCGTCGGAAGGCAGAACTAAAAGCAAATGCCACAATCCTTCAAACTTTCATGGGAAATCAATGGTTTGGGCGATTTCTGGCCTTTTCGGGCCTTCCTGGATGCCCACTTGGAGGCCACTTGGGCCATCTTAGGGCCATCTTCGGCCTTTTTGGTAAGCTCCTGGCCCGTCTGACGCCGTCGGAAGCCGTTTGGGGGGCCTCTCTGGGCCGACTTTGGGTCCTCTTGGAATGCTCCAGGGCCGTCTTGGAGGCCATCTTGGGCGTCTTAAAAGCCTCCTGGGCCGTCTTGGGGGCCTCTTGGGGCCGTCTGGGGGGCCCCTTGGGCCGTTCTGGGGCCCTCTTGGAGGCCTCTTGGGCGATCTTCGGGCGATCTTTGGGGGTTATTGGGCCGTCGCGGGCCGCCGGAAAACCGAAAAGAAGCAGGAAGGAGGCCGGCGGATTGCCGCCCGATACAAACCAAGGTAAAGTCCAATTCGGCGTGAAAAAATGCGTTTCGCGCGTGCCCGCTCGAGGAAGGTCGACCCCCCACATCGGATCCTCGATACATAATGGAGTCTGCGGGCCCCCGTGTTTATATATATATATGTATGTATATATATATATATATATATACACACATATATATATATATATATATATATATATATCCGTAAGGGCTTCGCCCCCTGCCGCCGGCCCCATCTCTCGGAGAATGGGCCATGGAAGAGCTAAGTCATGAGGCCTTGGTGCTGTCGTGAAGCAGTATCGAAACTTCATGCGAAGCCGATTCGCAATCAGCAAAACCAACTGATCACAAGAGGGGTTACCACACCTGGCGATTGGTAAGACGTGTATGGTTTACGGGCTTGGTTACCACACCTTGCGATCAAAGGGCCGAGAGAGTTCTCGCAGTTCGGGTTACCACGCCTTGCGATGGATGTGCGTGAAGGGTGGCACCGAATTTCAGAAATGTGGCAAATCCCCTGTGTATTTGGACCCTGACCCCGCGGATCTGCGTGAGGGGTGGCGCCGAATTTCAGAAATGTTGCAAATCCCATGTGTTTTTGGACCCTGACTCCGCGGATCTGCGTGAGGGGTGGCACTGAATTTTAGAAATGTGGCAAATCCCCTGTGTTTTTGGACCCTGACCCCGCGGATCTGCGTGAGGGGTGGCACCGAATTTCAGAAATGTGGCACATCCCCTGTGTTTTTAGACCCTGACCCCGCGGATCTGCGTGAGGGGTGGCACCGAATTTCAGAAATCTTGCAAATCCCATGTGTTTTTGGACCCTGACCCCGCGGATCTGCTGAGGGGTGGCACCGAATTTTAGAAATGTTGCAAATCCCCTGTGCTTTTAAACCCTGACCCCGCGGATCTGCGTAAGGGGTGGCGCCGAAGTTCAGAAATGTGGCAAATCCCTTGTGTTTTTGGACCCTGACCCCGCGGATCTGCGTGAGGGGTGTCGATTTCGAGCCCCCCCAGCAATTCAGACAACGCGCCCAGGGGGTGCTAAAAAGCCGGTTTGGGCCTCCCCCCCCCTCGCGCGGTCAATCAACTAGTTACAGTAACCAGCAATAAGCAGAACTGTAACACTGGAAACTACAAGCTACAACTGGTACAGGAAACTGCGAATCCCGCGCCTCGCAGCCTGGTGGCCCCACAAGGGGGCCGGCGGATATATATATATATATATATATATATATATATATATATATATGTGTATATATATATATATATACACATATATATATATATATATCAATGAGGTGAAGTCGAATTCTGCGCGGAAAGTGCATTTCGTGTGTGCCCGCTCGAGAATAGTCGACCCCCCATCTCGGATCCTCGATAAATAACGGGTCCGCGACCCCCGCTTGCTTCGATAAAACACGAGGTAAAGTCCAACGCGGCGCGGAAAGCGTGAAAATGTAGAGTTGTTGCATGCTCGTTGGAGGATGGTGCGCCCCCAGCGCCAAACAAATCGAGGATGTCTCTAGCGAAACGCTTGTTTTGCAAAACTTGAGGGACCTGGTCGCCCCAGCATGCCCCAGGAGGCCCTGGGAGCGCGGACGCAGTGTAATCTACGACGGATCGTGACGTTTCGAGCGCCGACCACGCGTAATTTGTTCGGGATCGTGGCTCTCGGAGCGCGGGCGCAGCATCATTTACATGGGATCGTTGTCCTGGGAGCGCGGACGCAGCGTAATTCACGAGGGATCGTAGCCCTTGGAGCGCGGGCGCAGCGTAAAATATCAGGGATCGGGGCCATGGGGGCTCGGACGCAGCGCAATTTCCCAGGGATCGTGGCCCTGGGAGCGCGACCCCAATGTAATTTACGAAGGGGTCGTGGCCCTGGGAGCGCGGACGCAGCGTAATTTACGAGGATCGCGGCAGTGGGAACGCGGACCTTGAGTAATTTGCAGAAAGGATCGTGGCCCTGTGAGCGCGGACGCCTATAATGAAGATGTATTGAGGATGTCTCGAGGGAACCACTTGTTTTCACGTGTCCAGTTGGCCCAGGTGGATGTCTAGCATGAGGTGACACGTCCATTGGCACGTTCCGTAGCGCGTCCCCTCGGCACGTCCCGCTGTGCGTCCCAGTGGCACGTCCCCTGGCACGTCGCTTGGCGCGTCCCTTGGGACATCCCGCGGCGCGTCCTCCTAATTAGCATGTCCCCTGTCAATTAGCTCTGGGGCGCTACTATGTGCTCAGGCAGCTCGAGCTTAAGGTCCAGATCAGTTGGGTCAGGACTCGGATGCAAAGGAGGACTCGCTTCACTACGCTATAGACCACAATCGCGGCATGGCGCATTGCAATTCAGCACGGCGCAGCACAGCACCGCCCTCGGCATTGTAGCGCCTCCCGTGGCGAGTCCCCCTGGCACGTCGCGCGGCGCGTCCCCTTGCACGTCCCGTGGCACGTCCATCGGCACGTTCTGTAGGGCGTCCCTTTGGCACGTCCCCCGGTGCGTCCTCGTGGCACGTCCCCTGGCACGTCGCCTGGCGCGTCCCTTGGGACGTTCCGCGGAGCGTCCTCCTAATTAGCATGTCCCCCTGTCAATTAGCTCTGGGGCAGCTACCATGTGCTCAGGCAGCTCGAGCTCAAGATCCAGATCAGTTCGGTCAGGACTCGAAAGCAAAGGAAGACTCGATCCACAACGCTATAGAGCACAATCGCGGCATGGCGCATTGCACGGCGCAGCACAGCACAGCCCTCGGCACGGTACATCAAGATCGATACTCTCAGCATTGCAACTTGGCACGTTCTTTGGCACGTTCCGTGGCGCGTCCCGTGGCGAGCCCCCCTGGCACGTCGCGAGGCGCGTCCCCTGACACATCCCGTGACACGTCCATTGGCACGTTCCGTAGCGCGTCTCTTTGGCACGTCCCCCGGTGCGTCCACATGGCACGTTCCCTGGCACGTCGCCTGGCGCGTCCCTTGGGACGTTCCGCGGCGCGTCCTCCTAATTAGCATGTCCCCCTGTCAATTAGCTCTTGGGCAGCTACTGTGTGCTCAGGTAGCTCGAGCTTAAGATCCAGATCAGTTCGGTCAGGACTCGGATGCAAAGGAGGACTCGATCCACTAAGCTATAGAGCACAATTGCGGCATGGCGCATTGCAATTCAGCACGGCGCAGCACAGCAAAGTCCTCGGCACGGTACATCAAGATCGATACGCTCAGCATTGCATTTGCCCGTCTCCCAATCAAGTGTCTTTGAAACGCCGCCATGCCTTACATTTCAATATTCCTTTCCGGGTTCGTGGGTCGATCATGTTTTACCTTTTCTGGCCTTCCTGGAGGCCCTTTTGGAGGCCTCTTGGGCCGTCTTGGGCCAGCTTCGAGCCAACTTCGGCCATCTTGGTGGGCCCCTGGCGCGTCCGACGCCGTCGGAAGCCGTTTGGGGAGCCTTTCTGGGCCGACTTGGGGCCCTCTTGGGGTGCTCCAGGTCCGTCTTAGAGGCCATCTTGGGCGTCTTGGGGGCCTCTTGGGTCGTCTCTGTGTCCTCTTGGGGCCGTCTTGGGGCCTCTTGGGCAGTCCCGAGGCCATCTTGGAGGCCACTTGGGCGCTCTGGGGGCGATATTGGGGGCCTCTTGGGCCGTCTTGGGTCGTCGTAAAGCCGAAAAGGAGCAAATACGAACAACCTTTAGAAACCTAAGGACAGTCAAAGATTGTGGCCTCTTCGGGCCCTCCTGGAGGACCTGTCGGAGGCCTTTTGGGCCGTCTTGGAGGCCTCTTGGCACCTCTTGGGCCGTCTTCGGCCGTCTGGAGGTTTCTTGGGCGGACTTGGAGGCATCTCCTCCTCTCTTGGGCGGACTGAGAGGCCATCTTGGACCAGCTTAGAGGCCATCTTGGGCCAACATGGCCGTCTTGGAGATTATCTTGAGCCGTCTTGGAGGAACACTTCGGAGAATTGAGCTCCTGGGCAATACCCCGGCGGGACGGGCCGAAGCCCCAGGGGAGTTCATTCTGGAATAAGAACCAAAACCAAAAGCCAAATCGTTCGGCACGCCAGGCACCCCTTTGATAAATCAAAAGGGGGCGGCGGATCGAAGACGCCTACGGCGAATCACCGCCGCCCCCTGCCTTTGTGGAAGCGCCTATGTGGCCGAACGTTGAGGCCAGACCTGCCAAGCCGTCGGACCATGTGTTCCCCGAATCGGTTTGGAAAGCCTTCGGGGAACACGTGGGCGTCTTGATGGTCATCGTCGTCGTCTTGGAGGCCTCTTGGGCGATCTTTCGGCGATCTTTGGGGGCTCTTGGGCCGTCTCGGGCCGTCGGAAGGCCGAAAGAAGGGAAATGCCCAAATCCATCAAAAACCTTGGGAAAATCAGTGATTTTGGCATCTTTTGGCCTTCCTGGAGGCCCTCTTGGGGGCCTCTTGGGCCCTTTTGGGCCAGCTTCGAGCCAACTTCGGCCATCTTGGTGGGTTCCTGGCACGTCTGACGCCGTCGGGAGCCGTTTTGGGGGCCTGTCTGGGCCAACGGGGGACCCTCTTGGGGCGCTCCAGGGCCGTCTTGGAGGCCATCTTGGGCGTCTTGGAGGCCATCTTGGGCGTGTTGGAGGCCTCTTGGGCCGTCTTGGGGCCCTCTAGGGGCCATCTTGGAGGCCACTTGGGCCATCAGGGGGCTCTCTTGGGGGCCTCTTGGGCGATCTTGGGGGCTTCTTGGGCCGTCTTGAGCCGTCGGAGAGCCGAAAAGGCGCAAATGCCAAAATCCTTCAAAAACCAAAGGAAAATCAATGATTTTGCCCTCTTCGGACTCTCCTGGAGGACCTCTTGGAGGCCTCTTGGGCCGTCTGGGAGGCCTCTGGGGGGCCTCTTGGGCCGTCTTGGGCCGTCTTGGACTCTCTTGGGCCGTTTTGGAGGCCGTCTTGGACCATCTCGGGCGGACTTGGAGGCCATCTTGGGCCATCTTCGCGATTTTTTGAGGATGTCCCGAGCGAAACGGCCGTTTTTGCGCACGGTGGCGGGTTCTGCCGGAGCCCACTGGGGAGTTCTTTTGGAAAAAGAACCAAAACCAAAACCTAACAGCTCGTCCAGCACGCCGTGCACCCCTGCAAGCAGGGGGCGGCGGATCTGATGGCCTTCGGCCCATCCCGCCACCGTGACTGGGTTGTGATTCAGAGCTCTCAGGGATTCTTTTGGGGGCCTCTTCATAGCGCTCTCGGGGGCCTCTTTGGGTCAGTTTTGTGGGCCTCTTGGGGGCCTCTTGGGGCCTCTGGGGGACACATCGCAAAACGTATTGGATTGATGACTGTTGGTTGCCCTGGTTTGCCTTTGCGGTGGCCGCTGGGACGAGTGTGGAGCGGAGCGCCTCTGGAAGGTCTTGCAGATCAACTTGGGGCATGCCAGAACGTCTGAGCGTACTTTGGGATGTTTGATTTTGCGTGGGGCCTCTTGTGCGAGGTGACACTTGTTTTGGAGAATCACTGGCAGCTTGTGAGCCATCGCGGCGGCGTCTGCTGATGCTTTGTTCTTCTCTGCAGGTCTGACCATAGCAACTTGGAGTAGGCTTACGGTCCCCATGGGGAGGGATGCCACGGCTGATCCACGCAAGACACCCTTTCGCTTGGATTGCAACGAAGTGGTGCCAGTTGCTCACCTTGCAGCTGCGCACTGCTCGGAAACTGGAACATATACATTACCAGTGGCCGGTTCTGTTTCAATCCCAGGATTTCTTTTGGGTCGGGGACGACGTCGGGGTGGCGTGGTGTATATTGTTTCCCCGCTTTCCGGGGGGGAAGCTACGAAGCATGTATACACCAGGATCCCGTATACACCAGGATCCGCGTTCCTGTGCGAATGTCAGCGCGGGGTCGGAAAACGCGTCGGTGTATAGAGCTCGTTCCCCGATCTGCAGCAGCCAGGGAGGGCGACGCTTGCTTGATCCGCGCAAGGCGCCCTGCCGCTCGACCCCTCGGGGACGCAGCGGGGCGCCCACCCAACACATGCGCGCCTAGCAGCACGGAGGCCAAGGTCTTGGCTGCGATCCTCTGCAGATACCCATGATGGGCTTGTTTCCCACCACCACCACCACCATAAGTTGGAGGGGGGAAGGAGGTGGAGGACGAGGAGGGGGAGGAGGAGGAGGAGGAGGAGGAGGCGGAGGAGGAGGATGAGGATGAGGAGGGGGAGGAGGAGGAGGAGGAGGAGGAGGAGGAGGAGGGGGGGGGCAGGAGGAGGACGCGGAGGAGGGGGAGGAGGAGGACTCCCTCCCCCTCTCACTTGTGGTGGTGGTGGGAAACGATGCGGAGAGGAAGACGTCCGAGTATTCTGTCCAAAACGGGGGCATAATACATGACGCGTTGGACAGAATACGCGGGGCAGATGTTCGGAGGATCGGACGGACTTCTTGGGTCGGCGCCGGACCTCATCCCGTCCCATTTCCGTCGGGCAGCGTTTCTGGCCGCCCCCTGCTCGCTCCGCGCGCCCAGGAGAAGGTGTGGGGAAGGGGGTCCAGCGTCGAACCGAGGAATCCGCGGGGACCTCCGAGAGGTTATGCTTATGGGTCCATATGCTGTTATCTATGACAGGAGGTCCTAGATACTCATCCTGAGCAGGAGTCACTGTCAGTACCAGGGCGAACGCGGTCCGTTCGGTCGGGGTCGTTGTCTGCCCGAGAACCGTGGTTGCCCATTTCAGGCAGCGCTGGCTCGTTGGTCCCATTCCGGGCGCACCAGAAGTCGGCATCGCGGCCCGCGCTTTTTTGTTTCTATTTCTTCCAGTTTTGCGAGGATCGGCCTCTCCAATTTGCACCGCTGCTGTGCCCGTTTTCTTCCCGCCCGCGACTGAGCTGCGCGCTGCTCCCGCTGCTTGGGACAGCTTGTCGCAATCCGAGGAAACCTGGCGTCTGGTATTACTCAAAAGATTTCTGCCATTCTGCCGACCCCGTGCATATCGGAGAAGAAGGAAGAGGATGACATGGACCACGGCCACGATAGGAGTCGTGGTTGAGCGCTCGAGGGTCTTGCTTCCTTCCTGCGCACCATTATGGTCCGGCCGCGCTGTGACTGCAGGGAGGGAGGGGCCTGTCGGCGGGTGCTGAGTCCACCCGGAGAAGGTCCATACGAAGTGTTCGGTCTTCTCTTGGGCTTCCTGCATCTGGACTCAACCTCTCTCGGTCGCAGGCGAAGTCCATCCGGAGGAGGTCCATGCGGAGTGCTCGGGACTCCGTCCGGGCTTACTCCGTCTTGACTTGTGATGTTCCAACCTACTTTAGCCTTGGCTACCAGAAATAATTCCGAGCACAAAGAGTGTACCAAAACTGAAGGGGGGTTTTCACGTGCCGGGCCCTCGGAGGCGACGCTCGCTCTACACTGTTCCCATACTTTTCTGGGTGCTCGAAATTATTTCTTGAGTGTGGTCCTCAAATACGATGGGAGCAACAGAAGTCTGGTCTTGGCCTTTCCTGACCCTGCCGCTGCGCCTACCAGGACGACCTGGCCGGCATCGAGAGGCGCATCGCGGGCCTGCGGCAGCGCATGCGCGACCGCAGGGCTTTCCGCAGGCGGCCGCGGTGCCGCCTCCCGCTCTGACGGCGGTGTCTGCCCGTGCGGGATGTCATTGGGGACAGACGGTGGCATCCACGATTATGCGGCTCCCTCAATATGAGACAAAATTGCCCGAGAAGAAAAAGTTTGTTCCCACTGGGAATCAACGACGATGAAGTTTCAGTGATGCGGGTGGGCCTAGCTCGGTCGAGCCCCACTTAGCGTCCTTGCATTCACCTCGAGACACCCACAGAGGCACAACGATTACAGAACTACTGCTTGCTATGAGGCCGTGTACTAAGAATGGTGCGCCTGTTTTCACCACCACCACTATAAGTTGGAGGGGGAGGGGGCCTGATCCTCCTCCGCCTCCTCATCCTCCTCGACGACCTCCTCCTCCTCCTCGTCCTCCACCTCCTTCCCCCCTCCAACTCATGGTGGTGGTGGTAGTGGAAAGCAGACCCATCAAAGAAGAAAGACCTTGCCTGCCATCCTCTCCTCTCCTCCCCTCGCCGTGGGGGAAGCGGGTCCTGCTGGCAACGGGCCCAGAAGTCTGCCGCCGTTGTTCGGGCTCTCGGGGCTCTCCACGAGCCCCGGGGCTGCCATTAAGTCGGGCGTGTCCCCCTACAAGAGGAATCTTCAAAAATAGTAGAAAAATAGTCAGGGACGATTTTTATAGTATGTTTGAGCTGTTTTTGAATAGGTTTTCTGTATTTTCTATTTTCGTTCAAAATCCGTCTGTAGGGGGACACGCCCGACCTAAGACTGCCAGGAGACGGCTCAGGATGAAGACGTCGTCGTGGGGGAAGGCCCCAGGATCCAGGACCCGCTTCCCTCAGGACCCGATTCCCCTGTGCTAATCTCCCTTTCTCGTCCTTCTGCGCCTTCTCGTTTTTGGTGCTTCTTCGGCCTTGTGGCCATCCCTCTTCTCTCCGGCCTCCGCCCCCGCCGCTGCAGGCCGACCGATCGCCAAAGATCGGTTGCTGGCGCTGGCGGAACGCGTGAGAGCTCGGGAGGGGGCCCTGCCTCTAGGTGCCAGCCGATCGGACGATTTAGCGTGTTTTGGCTTAGTCTTTCGCCGTTTGCCTCCTCCTGCTCCAGCTCCTGCTTCTGCTCCTCATCCTCCTCCTCCTGCCTCTCCTCCTCCTCCTCCTCCTCCTCCTCCTCCTCCTCCTCCTCCTCCTCCTCTGCCTCCTCCTCCTCCTCCTCCTCGTCTTTCATCTCTCAGCACGTCTGTCGGGACATTGTGAAAGCAAACGCCAGCAGCACGAAGCATAGTTTTCTGATCACCGAATCGACGGGACCGCGTGTCCCATACCACTGCCCTTCCTGGTAGCGGCCCTTTCAGGGCTGGAGTGCGGGGCGTCCAGATTTCTCCTCATCCTGCTTTCGTCTTGATCCTCCATCCTGGCCAGTTTTCTGAGCCGCGCCCAGCGGCGGCGACGAGAACCTCCAGAACCGCCCAAAAGCTGTCGTAAACGACGACGTCGTTGTCGCCCCGTGGCTGCGCCCTCGCGGCAGCCCGGTGCTTCCATCTTCCAGGAGGGGGAGGACGAGGGCTACAAGCTCCAACGCGCCAAGCTTAATAGCCGTCAGATTCGACCTTCGAGGGGGGAGACCCTCCATCCTCGATCATCCCCCTCGGTCGTCGATCCTCGATCTTGCCACCGAGTATCGACCCTCGATCCCCCCCCGATCATGGATCCTCGATCGTGCCCCGTCGATCACCCCCTCGATCTTCACCCCTCGATCATCGATCCTCCCCCTCGATCATCACCTCGAGTGCGCCGCCACCCCCTCCACCCAACACACACACACACACAAACGTAAACACACACTCACATTCACACACAAACACACGCACACCACGCTCACGCACACGCACACGCACACGAACACGAGCACGATCACGCACACACATACACACACACACGCGCACACGCACACGCACACGCACTCGACTTACGCGCACGCACATGCACACGCGCATGCACACGCACACGCACTCTAGCACGCACACGCACACGCGCACACCCACACGCACACGCGCACACCCACACGCACACGCGCACGCGCGCGCACGCGCATGCACACGCATGCACGCGAACCCACACACACACACACACGCACGTTCACACGCACACACAAACACACGCACACGCACACGCACACGCGCACCCACACGCACACGTACATGCACACACACACACACACGCACACGCACACACACACACAAACACACACGCACACAAACACAAACACAAACACACACACACACACACACACGCGCGCGCGCACGCGAACGCGCACGTGCACCCGCACGCGCACGCGCACACGCACACGCACACGCACACGCACACACACAAACCCACACACACACACACGCGCGCGCACGCTAACGCGCACGTGCACCCGCACGCGCACGCGCACGCACACGCACACGCACATGCACACACACACACACACTCTAGCACGCACACACACACACGCACGCACACGCACATGCACACGCACACGCACACGCATACGCACACACATCCACACACGTACACGCAAGCATTGTTTGGCAGAAGCGGATCCGCGCGCACGCAAACACACGCGCGCGCGCACACACACACGCACACACACGCTTGCACGCACGCACGCACGCACTCATGCACGCAAGCACGCTCATTATCCCTCTCTCTCACACACACGCACGCACGCATGTGCTCACGCACGTATGCACGCATGCACACCCAACACACACGCACACACACAAACACACACACGCACGCACACGCACACACACAAACACACACACACACACACACACACGCACGCACGCACGCACGCACGCACGCACGCACGCACGCACGCACGCACACGCACACGCGCACGCGCACGCGCACGCGTGCGCGCCACCCCCGCCGCAGGGGGGCTGGCGCGCCAGTGGCCGCGAGGCCGCAGGAGCCCGACGAGGCTGCCGCCCCGCAGAAGGCTCGGTTTCAGCCTCCATGGGAGGCCCGCTTCATGTTTTCTTTTCCTCTCCCTTGCACCCTTCCCCCGCCTTTGAAAGTCGATCTGGATGGCGACTGTCGCGCGGGCCTATCGCCTTGGGTCATGCGGCTCGTCTCGAGGTGCCTGTCTTGTGTTTTTGTGTTTCACGGCACATCTGGAGAAAACTGCATGCGGGCGCAAGCGGTTCGACCACCGTCAGTCGACCCTCCATCTCACTCTGCGGCGCAGCCATGCCGTCGTGATATGCAGTGCTTGCGGGTGGAGCTATGAATCTTCTGTGCTTTGCGTGAGAAAAATCACGAGTATTGTATCTGGAGGACGGACACGGGTATGGAGAGAATGTGTACGAAGACTGACAGAATTTCCGGTCCATTCTTAACAGGGTTCGTTGTCGGCGTCGCTACGGGCGTTGTTCTTCTTTGAGACAGGAAGGCGACAGCCCAAGAGCGGCCGCTCGGTTTTGGACGACATGTGGTGTTGGCATCGTACCTTTGTTTCGGAACTCATTGCGGGCGTGCCAATCTATGCCTCGCAAATTGGTTCCGATCAGATGGGGTCGAAGGATTGCTCCGGATCGCCGATGCGATGCGGCTCGATGTGGGTTCAAATGTTCTTCACGTCGACTGCGACGATGCATCGCCCACGTCGTCGATGCATTGTCGATTCGGCGCGATCCTCCGACTCCTCTACTTATCGAGCCCCCTCCTCGACCAGCCGCGCCTGCTGAGAGGATGGTGACCATGTAGGCCGTCACTGGGTTCCCCCTTATGGACGACCCTTTTCTGGGCCAGGAACTTCCCCAAGCGGGTTTGCAGGTCAATGTTTGTGGGATCCAGCGTCTCACTTTTACTTTGGTAGTTCCGAGTTGCCCCAGAGGGCTGAATTCGATTCAGCGGGCCGTCTACAGTTTGGCATTGTCATGTTCACTTGTCTTACATGACAGCGATTCGATGGGTTTGCTATGGAAAGCGTGACGTCACCACGCCAAAAATCCATGGACGTTCTAGAGTCTCAGGGTTGGGTTTCTTGTGCAAAGTTCCTTGTGGACTGGCCTCCACTGTATTCCACACGGGTTGCATAAACGTAGGCTGCTATATCTTTTTTGGAAATCGTGGAACGTGTCTTGAGGCAATTATGCAAGTCATGACGTCATCCTCGTCCTCAGACACTCCAGGGCCCCGCAAAGCCGTGCTTGGGAGTCGCTCGCGGCCCTGGAGGTGGCCTGGGCTGAGCCGTTTTTGTTTTGTTCTTTCGCGCTGAGCCGGGTTTGCGCTGAACCAGGCTTGCGCTGAGCCGGGTCAGTCTGCGCCAGATTCACATGAAAGTGCGTGCACGTTTCACATGCCATTTGCACTGCAGCCGATGTGCCGCAATGGCACGGCTTCTTCGTTCGTTCGGGTCAGTCCGCGCCAGATTGTCCCGGGTCGTTCAGGAATGTGCCCAGGAGGCCTCAGACCTTGGATGACTCCTGATCTGATGAGGGCGGCAGTGATGCCCATGGCCAACCCACGATAGGATGTCCACCGTCTTCTAGACCTTGGGTTCCTTTATCCAATGGTTTCTTACCGAATGCCCTCGCCGTAACAAAACAGTTCGCCCTCCTCATCTCAAAACGCTTCGACCTGGCGGGGGGGGGGCAGCCCCTGCCGGCAGGGGCCGTCGGAGCAGCCGGCCCCCCAGCCTTTGGGGCCGCGGTCGCCGTCGCCGTCTTCGTCGTCGCCGTTGACGCCTTGACGTCGCCACCGTCGAGCGCCGTCGGTCGCAGGTCGTCGTCATCGCTCGCGGGTCGCCGTCGCCGTGGTCCGTCGTCGTTGGTCGTCATCGTCTCGCAAGATCGCGTCCTTTTTCTCCCGGGTGGGGTCCTGACGGCGGGGACCGAGCGCCGAAGGCTCCCGCGGGCCTGCTGGCGCCGCCAGCGGCGCCGGGCTTCCCCTCCTCCCTCTCTCCCGCCTCCTCCTCCTCCTCCTCCTCCGCTTCCTCCCCTTTCGATGGTCCTCAGGACGTGCATTAGCCCAGGCGTGTGTTGACCGCGTTCGGCTCCGCCGATAGCGCGCAGCCATTGTCGGCCCTCGTCGTGCGGCCTGCGTCGAACTGAAGGGCGTCGGTGGACAGCCACACGTTCTCGCGAAGACACGTTCTGAGGGTCATCGACCCTTCCCTCTCCCCCGCCTCGTCCTCCCATCTTGGAGATGGCTGGGGGTCTGAGGTTGCCCGGCATTGGCTCCGGCAGGTAGGACGGGAGTCTAGGTTTGAGGTTTCAGAAGGTGTTCGACCTTCTTTGCTCTCCCAGGGCGGATGTCGGGCCCCAGGGCCGTCAAAGACGCATCCAAGGTCGTTTGGGAGCGAGTCTGAGCGGATTCGCCCTCTCCCCACTTTTTCACAGATGGTTTGTTCTCGGCCCCATCCAGTTCAGACCCCCAGCCACCTCCTCTGCCCATGTACCTTCTCCAGTGCCTCCCGCGCCTCCTCCCGCACCCCCTCCGCTTCCTCGGAGGCCGAAGCCGTCGCCGAGGAGGCGTCTGAGGAGGAGGAGGAGGAGGAGGAGGAGGAGAAAAGGAGGAGGAGGAGGAGGAGGAGGAGGGAGGACGCTTCGGCGGCGTCGGGCTCCTCCTCCTCCGCTTCCTCCTCCTCTCCCTCCGCCTCCCAGGCTGCCAGCCCCGGCTGGCGGAGGGTTAGGGGGAGGTCCCCAGGGAGCCCGCACATCGGACAAGAAACAGCAGCAGCGTACGTAAATGTTCGACGGTCGGCGCGGATTTTTTGGACCTGCGATGGGCTCCCCTGGCGGCGCCTCCGGCGCCGCCCTTGGCACGCTCCGTGCGCCAGGGGGGGCTACCAGCGCAGAGCCACGAAGTCCGCGCGGACCGTCGACAGTTTATGTTCGTGCCGTTCCTCTTCCTCTAGCAAGGGCGCCCTCGAGGGCGCGAAGTTATTCGCGCTTCGCGGTTCGGCTCCGATTCCTCCTCATCCTCCTCTTCTCCCCTGGGAGGCGGCGCGAGAGCGCGAAGTTATTCGCACTTCGCGCTTCGCGCAGCGCGAAGCGCGAAGTTGGGAGCCCTTGTCTAGGTTGGGAGATCCCCTGGAGACCCACTTGCTGCTTTGCCTAAGTTGACGTGTGCGTCCCTTGTATTGTTTCCCCGTGTGTATAGTCGTCGGTCCTCTCCTCCTCCGCAGCCTTCTTTTCTTCTCTCTTCAGTCCTCTCCTCGTCGTCGTCGGCGCCACGGACCTCCACGTGCATGACTTTCTGTTGGCTATTCGACGCCACCTTTTGATGTCGGTGGAAGCCTCTATCCACACCACTGGGCCGCGCGCTGTTTCTCAAAGAACTCGACGCCATGCCATGACATGCTGTGCGGTGCGGTGTGTTGCGCCGCTGTGCGATGCCATGTTTTGTGTTGCGACGCTTTGTGATACAACGCTTCACTGTGCAATGCCACGCCATGCTATTGCATCGCTCTGCCGTGCTCTTCTACGCCATGCCATGCCGTGCTCTACCATGCATAGCGTACCCCCTTGCGACCATTGCCCTGCTCGACATCCGACTGTGCGAACAGAGTGGAGATCTACGCCATGGTAAGGGATGGGAGGGAGAAGTGGGACGTGAGCAATGACGCGAGCGCACCTTGCTTGTCCTTCCCCCCTCCTCCTCCTCCTCCTCCTCCTCCTCCTCCTCCTCCTCCTCCTCCTCCTCCTCGTCCTCCTCCTCGTCCCCCTCCTCCTCGTCCCCCTCCTCCTCCTCCTCCTCCCCCTCCTCCTCCCCCTTCCCTCCTCCCTCGCCTCTCCCGGCGGAGCCGCGCGGCGCGGGGCCGGCCGCTGCGACCCCGAGCGCGGCGGAGGTGCTCCGGGCCCTCGCGGGAAGACTGGCCGGAGGAGGGCAGGTCGAGGGATTCTGGCTTCGGGAGCGGCCAAGAGGGGGGTGACGGCTACGCAGGTCGGCCACGCGCAGATCGGGGGTATGGGGATCCCCATACCCCCGAGGAGGCGGGGGGAGGGGGGAGGTCTTCTCAGAAGCAGCCTCGCTTCTTCGAGACGGCGCGGCCCTTGTCTGTAGGTGAAGGGGCCAGCGCCTTCTAGGAAGCAGGGGTGTTTCTACGAAGCCTTCCCTTCTTCCCCAACGCTCGTCTGCGCGCCGCCAAGTAGGGGGGGGGCGATATCATGGCGGGGCCTTGATACCTCCCAAGATTTCATGGCGTCTTCTATTATTTCAACACGTCCCTGGCCCCCCCCCTGGTCCGCGCACATGCCGCCGGCCATGTATTGCAGCCCCCCTCTTGGACGCCCCCCACTTGGACGCTCCCGAGATGGTTGCTGAAGGTGTCCCTGGTCCAAGGTGCCCCCAGCTTTGCGCTTCATCTTTGAGCTCCTGGGCTGGGATGCAACTCCTTGGAGGTTGATTACGTTCTACGTCGGCGCTGGCATTTGTCGCGGTCGATTCCGGAGGGGTGCTCTGGAGGCCAGGGTTCTCCTTTCAAATCCGTTCCAGACCGTCCCAGCACGCTATCAGAGCCTTTCATGAGAAGGCCGTGGCGCCCGAGACCTCCTCCAGAGCCGCTGGATCTCAGAGATTCTCGATTCACCCTCACCCGAATGTATCCTCTTCCTGGCGTCTTTTGCTCTGGAGGACGAGGGGGCCTCCTTGGGGCTTTTCGGGCCAGGGTCACTTCTGGCAGCACCCGAGCAGGCGCAGCAGCGCTCGGCGACTTTCATTCGGCGGCGAGCGTCGATGACGATGACGACGATGATGATGATGATGATGATGATGATGATGATGATGATGATGATGATGATGATGATGATGATGATGATGATGACACGGTGACAATGAAGACGATGACGATGATGATCAGGATAACGATGATAATGATGATGATGATGCTGATGTGGATGCGGATGTGGATGCGGATGCGGATGCGGATGCTGATAATGATGCTGATGCTGCTGATGCTGATGCTGATGCTCACGCTGTCGCTGATGCTGATACTGATGCTGATGGTGATGGTGATGTTAATGGTGATGCTAATTGTGATGTTGATGATGGTGATGCTGATGTGAATGGTGATGGGGATGGTGCTGATGCTGATTGTGGTGATGATGATGCTGATGATGATACTGATGGTGATGCTGTTGATGATGATGGTGCTGATGATGGTGATGATGTTGATACTGATGATGACGATGCTAAGAATAGTGATTGTGCAATAGAAGATGAATACTAATACTAAGAGCTTGGTAATGATGATGATGACTGCGAACACGATGATACTGCTGATGCTGCTGTTGATGATGATGCTGATGATGACCATGCTGATGATTATGATGGTGATGATGATGCGGATGATGCTGCTGATGTTGATGATGATGACGCTGACTATGAGGATGATAATGCTGATGATGAAGGTAAGGATGATGACGATGATGCTGATGCTGATGATGATGATGATGATGATGCTGATGATGGTGATGTTAATGACGCTGATCACGATTGTGATGCTGGTGTTGCTGACGATGATGATATTGACGATGCTGCAGGTGATGGTGTTGCTGATTTTGTTGATGATGTGACGATGAGGAAGAGGATGATGACGCTGACGATGATTATTCTGATATTGTTATGAGTCGCTTCTCTCATTCCGCCGGCCCTGGAGCGCTATTTGGGGCCTCTTGGGGCCGTCTTGGGGGCTTTTTGGGAGCGTCTTGGAGCTCCTTGGCGGCGTATTGGGCTCCCCTGGGGCCTCTTGGGGGGCTCTTGGGGGCCCCTTGGGGCGGGAGCCGAGCG